CATCAAGTGCGGTCAAACTCGAAAATGTCTGCTGATTCGATGAAGTTAACTTATGATAAGAGATCTACTGAAGTCAGCTTTGTACCAGGAGACAAGGTATGGTTGTTTAATCCCAGGAAGACCAAAGGGACATCTCCTAAGTTGTCTTCTCCATGGGAAGGCCCATATGATATAGTGGATCGTCTCTCAGACGTGACTTTCCGGATAAAATGTGGTCGGCGAGGTAAGCCAAAAGTGGTGTATGCCAACAGGCTTTGGCGTTATCACGGTCCAGGACATTTCAGTTGGGATGAAGAGAACAACAGAACAAATGACGCTGTTGAAGACGTGTCACCTGAAAAAGCCAATGTTGAAGAAGAAACTACTCAGTTTTGAGAAGAGAAACGGTGAAGCTCTTGATGAAGTTACTACCACTGATGTGACTGTTACTGACGATAGGACATTTCCTGATGAAGTAGATGAACTCCACGTGAAGCAGAAGCCAATGAGACGGAGACCAGTACGGAAGAAGATACGTCCCGTAAAATTAAGAGACTTTGTTGAATTGTAATTTTGTGTTTGTAATTCTGTACATTTAATTAAGTTATTGTTAATTGTTATTGGTTTAATGTAAGTGGCTATTGTTCGGGATGAACAATACTAAGGAGGGGGCAGTGCTGCATCAGCGAGGTCACGTGACTAGTATCAGTTTATAGCGTTTGTTGTAGAGCGACTGTTGAAATTAAGTGTATCGTAAAGTTGTATTCGGAAAGAATAAACCAGTTTTATTTAAGAAAGGACTTGTGTCGCAAAAGTTTTGTCAGAACGAATTTACAGAAAATTAACTAACGAACGGAGACGTAACAGTATTTAATTTCTATAGTTTCTTCTTATGGCAGCATGAACCTGCAACTCATAGATATATGTATAGCAAAGGAAGGACTTTTGTTTGTGACATTTTGATTTAGAATCTAACAATTCTTTTAATAAAACAGTGTATAAATATGAAACTAATGGTAGTATGGAATTTTAATATTCCAGTATGATATCTTACCACTACTCACAGCTTTTCTCGACTTATACTGCCTTCTATATGCGCAAGTCTTTGCTCATCACTAGCCTTGATACTTCCACGTAACCTCACATGAGACGTGCATGCTATCATGCAAATTGTCATGCAACAACTCTCCAGCAATAAGAGTGCGACACAACTCCTATCATCACAAGCTCCCTCTTTTCCACGCAGCCTGTAATCACTTCTCGATTGGCAGTTAAGCCAGTAGAACATGTTTTTGCTTGTGCTTTCCTAGTAAATTGATTTGTAACATTTAAATTTGTGATTCCATTATTTTTCTTAATTAACTCGTAATAATTTGAAACCATTTTACAGTTTTTTCGGGTGTAGCTAGGCATAAGTTGTCTAACATAACATAGAGTAACTTTAGTGTTCGTGTTAGGTATATGCTGAGTTGGTTATATATTATTCCTCATGATTAATTGGGCATATTTATTAACTGATTTTGAGTTAACCTACATCTAAAACCCATTTGTGCATCATTTTTTTGCCTAGATCAATCTGATTGGAGAAAAGGTAGTCAATCCTATGATCCATTGTTGTGAAAAATGTGCTGTTCCCATTTTGATTTATGGGAGAATGGTAAGTTAAAATATAGTAGAAAAGTTAACAAGTGTATTAACATGTGATTTTATGGTAAACAATTTCCTATGAAAAAAGTAATAGAAGCTTTATTATATGGCACCTGCCAGACCTGAGCAATGTTGATTAGTCAAAAGTTCCATTTTCAAGAACATTGCCCTTACAATATTTTACAGGGAAAATTTTGACACCTTGTTAATGTTCTAAACATTAACCTGTATGAAACATTTATTATAAGTACAGTATTTTAAATAAATTAATGCAATGTATTATAATGCACTTGCCAATTAAATGTTCTGGTGAAAGATTCCCAGTTTAAGATCACATTTTGCAAATCACAAGAAAGTCACTTAAACACTAATAAGTCACTAAATAATTACAATGATCATTTCTATTTTGAAATATTGAAATTTCCAGTTACAGGATTTTTCTGGATGCGAGTGTCAAATAACAAAGCTTTTACCATATTAGAATTTATAAAAAAAATAGATTAATTTTTTACATATATCTATACAAATATACCAGTCATAAAAATGACTGATTAATTTCATCAAAGCAACGATCTTAAAGTTTGTGAAATTATAATTAAACCAATTTTTGAAATAACTCACTCTTACATCCTAATAAAAAGATTTCGAGGCTTTGAATTATAAAAGATGTAAGAACAATAAAATGTTTTTCATTTAGTTGAGCACTTGTTAAATTTATATTTGAGGAGGAAAAAGAGACTTTTTGGTGTTAGCCATATAAAACTTGTTATGATAAGGAGTAATCATAAAAGACATTGACAGGTTATTTTTTCCTTGTTTTTTAAAAAATGCTTTAATTTGAAATGAAAATTATATGATGAAAACAACTATGACACATCTTTTATTATAACTTTGACAAAGGTAATCAAATAGTTAGTCACAATTTTTATTGAAAGTAAGCAAGAAGGTTTTTCATAACTGTAAAATTTTCCTCAACATCTAACCTTGATTTTATATTGAGTTTCATTTGATTTGGTTTCTTGAGGTTTTATGGGAGCTACTGGACTGATGAGTGACTAAGAAAGAACATATTTAGAAATATAGCAATTTCATATTATTAAAGTTTCCTAAACCGTTTTGGATCTTTACGTTCTACACATTTCCTTTTTTAGTAAATTTCTAAAATAGTTTATGAAAGGTAGTTTGTAGCAGATTGGTCCAATAAAATAAATGTAATATAAAAGTAGTGCCACCTGCTAATAAGTTCTAATTGTAGAGTTTTTAATGTATTATCTTTAGATACCATGCAAGCATGTATTCTGCTATGATTGTGCCAAAAAAGCAGAGAAAATATGCCCAAGGTAGGATTTTTTTAAGATACTTTTTTGTGAACAGATTCAGTAAGTTTCTATTACTGAATATATATTTTCACTTTTTAGTACTATTGGCTCGAGAGTAGCTGAATTTTTAGCGTGCTGGACTATGGATCATCAAATCTATCATTTGCATCCCATTATTGGCAAAAACAAAATCATACTGTACACATTGGGGTAGTGGATATGTTATAAAAGTAACAGTCAAATCCCATTAATTGATCAGACAAGAGTAGCCCAAGAGTTAGTGGTGGGTGCTGTTGACTATTTGCCTTCTCTCTAGTCCAGTGATTCCCAGCCATCAATCCACAGAAAAATTTCAGCTAGTTCACAAGATTGTTGAAAAATGTGTTTTTACATGTAATTACTGAAATATATTATTTAACATTGTAGTTTAAAAATATTTTTAAAAAGTTAATATTGTATAAAGAGGTCCATAAAACTTTATGATTAGAAAAAAAAGGTTACGTACCACTACTCTAGCCTATCAGTTCAAAAGTATGGATGGCTAGTGCCGATAACCCTTGGAGAATTTGTACAAATACCCAAAAATAAAAATAAACAATTTAACAGCATTGTCTAACCAATGGGACACAAATAATTTTTTTTAAATTCCACTAGCCAAAAGGAAACACTTAAAAATACTTGCCCAATTTTAGATGAATTAGCCTCAGTTTCCAGAATCTTAAGAGGTAACATAGTGTTAGGCTCATAATTTCAGATTATATTCATTTAAATGCTAAAAAATAAAATGTGCCACATGTTTGTTAAGTTACAAAATTAAAAATATACCACTCCTTACAAATTAATCATTTATATTCATGGTTGAAGTAGTGTTGCACAGCAGTGGAACTTAGCAATATGTAAATAACAGTGCTATGTTTTTCATTAGTGAGTTTTATACATGCCAGTTTTCTTGCCACAAATGGGAAGTTATTTTTTAACAATTTCATATCAGTACTGGACTGTGAATCCAAAGGGTTCATGAGTAACTGCATTTTGACTTCAATCAAATTATGATGAAATTTAACCAAACTTTTAATATTCCATTGATTTAGGTAAAAAATATGTAAGATATGTTATTAGATAATGTTGTAGCTTGATATCTGCTTTGTTGTAGGGATGTAAAAATCCATTAGCCCAATGCTTGAGACTACCAAATATTTAATTAAGGCTCTGAATTCCAGAGGCAAGTGGAGTTCTGCTTGCATGAAATGTGTGGATGTGCATAAAATCCAACTCTATATTTAGTTATTAAGTTTACAAAAATTTTCCTTTTTATTTTTCTTTAAAATCATTAAATATCTACTGTCACTGAAATTTTTGTAAGATTGGTTGCACTTTTTTCAATGATAAGTTAAAATACATGACTCAGTTACTGACTTTTAAACTAAAATGTCTGATTATTTATTTTCATATTTAAAACACATTCTAGCATACATGATTATTTTTTAATAAGTTTAGAATAATTATATTTTAACATAAAATTTTATTGATACTAGATGAAACAGCTGTATTTTGAGAGAATGATTTGGAACTACACAGCCTTTTTCCTAGGTATAACAGAAAACAGCAAAGTGTTCTGATTGTCATACCATTATGTGGTTGTTTCTACTTCTTTGTATTTGTAGACTGGTTAATGTGACCATAGATTTTATATCATTAGTAAATCATGTGACCTTTAGTTTTGTAATACCATGAAAGAAGTCATTACAATAAATATAGATATTATATACTTGCAATGTGTGGTAAGTTAGTCATTATAGTTGAAAAATAACAATAGTTAGGCTATTATATTGTTCAGGCTACTACATTTCTCATGCCTACTAACCAAGGTGTAGCATACAGAAAAATGTACTTACACCTCTGTTTGTTTTTCCCCTCACATACTTGAACTTTAACTTAATTAGAAAATAACAATATTAAGAATGATCACTGAAATAAAGAAATGTTTTGTGGACATACAAACATATACTGTTAAAAATTGTAATTTTTAGGCCTTCACCTACATTTCCCACTGAGTGATCATGAAAATGGTTTCACCAATCTGCATTCTAAGTGTACTAAATAACTTCATTTCATTTTATAAGTTTTCTGAAGAATTTAATGTTATTGAAAAGTACCTACATTTATAATTTTATTAAGTTTCAACAATAACATATGAATCCTTTATTATTGCACTTATAAAATCTACATTTTTTTTTCAGAAATTCTATAAGTTGCCAAAATTTCAATAAACTTTTTAGATGTCCATTAGAATTAAAAAGTTGATTTATCATGAAATGAAATGAAAAATTTAATGAATATACCTTCTGCATGACAGGTGTTTTGATAAAGTACAGCGTGTTGAGCAAAGTGCTTTAGGTACAGTATTTATGTGTACGTACAGAGGAACACGTCACGGTAATGGAGGCTGTCGTAGAACTTACCTTAGCCAGCGAGATCTTCAGGTCAGTAGATTAAATCCTGTTATGGTATTTGTTTGTGTATAGGAAATAATGTTCAGTCCTAGAAGATGCCACATATCAAATTACACTTAGAAGTAGAAATAGGTGAAGCAAAGAATTATTTTAGAAAAACAACTTGTAGTTCCACTGAAATGTCTTGAAGAGTTTATGTACTAAAGAATATAATTGTTTAACAGCTTAATCTATTTTAAAAAATGTTTTTGACTTATCAGCCCTTAATCTTGAAGCCTGATTTATTTCTCTTAATTTGTTTATGTGTTAAAAAAACTTTTAATACAAAAAATTTCTAGTTCAGTTTAAATGTTTTTCACAGGCACATATCAGCCATAGGCATCTTAGACCTCCAGCAGCTCCAGCTCCAGTTATTTCTACAACAGTCCCTGTGCCCACACAGATGGCACCACCTACAATAGCAGCTCCAGCTATTACTGCTACATCTATGATTCATGCCTCATCTCATCTTGATATTCGAGCACTCGGCTCCACTGATCACACTCATACACCCCCACACATGCCTCAAGTTTCTCAACCTCAGCATCCTCATCCTCACCCTTTGCCAGCCCAGCAAGATTACAGAGATCCTAATGAGCCACCTCGTAACCAGGTTCCTGTTCCTATCCCTACACCAGTTCCACCTCCACGAACATCCCACCCCTACCCACATCCTACAACAACCATGGGGCACCATCCCCATGCATCATACTCAAGCCCAATCCCTATTGTCACCACCCGTTCGAACTTGATCACAGTACCTATTCAAGATGATAGCAATACACCAGGGATTTCACCACTTCAGCAACTTCCACCTCCTCCTGCTCCAGCTCCTCAACCACCACCCATCCAACAGCATCCCACACCTCCTAGTCCCTATCCTCCTCCTCATCATCATTACCAACATCCTCCTCCACCAGCCCCTAACCCATCACCTTATTCCCAACCACCACAACCAGCTTATGCATCACCTCCAACCCAAAATTTTAGTCAGTCAGGTCCGTTGCCTACTCATCTTCCTCCGCCTCCCATTCACCAGTCTAATCCCCCTATGTTTTCTGCACCTCCTCCCCCTGTGCACCACAACCCCCCACCTACATACTCTACACCACCTCCACATACACTGCCCCCACCACCACAACAGTATCCACCTTCCTCACACTACAAAGAATCAGGGTCATATTGCCAGCCATGGGGTTCAGGTCCCCCTCCCGCTAGAGCTCCACTTCATCCTCGTCCCATGAGTAGACCCCCAGGGAATCCTAACATAGGGATGCCACAACCACATGGCTCAGCCGACCCAAAATATAGACATCCATACTACTAGGGCATAATTTTTGCCATAAAAATTGATGAACTTAAACTGAATTGAATGCTTGCAACTTCTGGTTTGTAAAATAGTGGACTTTGTTGTCAATTCATAATACTACTTTCATTTATGTTTATGTATCAACTTGTATAAAACTGGCTTTCATTTTGACTTTACAATATCATCTTTAAACTTAACATAAAATCAGTCAAATAGTTGTACATGTCATTTTTCTGTTTAAGCTTGATTTATCTTTATTAATTTGTCTTGTTGTTGAAAAAGAATTAACATTAGCTTTGTCTGAAGGTTCTTGTAAATATGTTCACATAAATATAACAGATTTGTTAGAACAAAGTTCATTAAAATATTATTTTGAAAGCATATTAAGTTTAAATTGTTTGGTTAATACTATGCATAAATTTTTCCTTAAAAATATTCTCTGACATTCTATAATGTGACCATAGTGTAATACATGTTTTGAAAATATTATAGTCATTATTCATATTGGTATGTTCTATATATAAAAGGTCAGAGAATACTTAAAACCATAATCTGAGCAGTATAATAAGTTTCTTATAGATGTAACAATAAAGCTGTTAGTCAAAAGCAATCTGTATAAAATCAGAATATATAATTGCTATTGTAGTATTTCTGTAAGGATTTTTTTTCCCTTCTTTCCCTTGATCAAATGGACAGTAGTGATCACTGATCTATATATATATAACCTGGATCATGCTCTCTCTGTCTGCCATGTTACTATTCCCAAAACAATCACACGTGTTACAGGTGTATGAAGCTGCTCTGTATTGATCACATACAGGCTAGGTTTACTGATGCTCTGGAGTGGATTGAACAAGAAATACAAAGCCCATGTTTCACCATTTTCTATAAATGTATCGATGCGCTGGTTTGCAGATTGAGTTATTTGAATTTTTATTGTTGTATCAGCTATGGAACTAACCTATACTGGTATTTTAAATTAGATTTTAATGCATAACCCTCTCATAAAATTAACAGACTAGCTTATTTGACCTGTCTGTATTCTGTAACAGATGGAACTTATTAAAGTTTTATTATCCAATGTTATTGTATGTCATAATTATAGTATGACAGCAAGTATTTTTTATATTTATATGAAAGCTTTATGAATGAATACACATCAAATTCTTTTGATATATATATATATAACAACATAGTGCCGAACATCTACAAGGTCTACAGGTAATACAAGCAACACTAAACTGAACCGTCCATGTACATGATCAAAATGATTCAAGTAAAGTATCTTCTCAACAAATGTGAAAATTATGGAAATACAATGCAAGACATCAACATTATGTGCATGTACATATTACTTGCTGTTGTGTTGGTGTCATTGTAATTAGTCAGGCCTATCAGCCCAGACCTACTTGTAAACTATTGAAGAACAATGAATGAAAATATATAGAATGACTATGGATAATTTTAAGCATCATCATTATAATTTGTGTAAATTACATTTATATGAGAGAAACAATTACTCAAAATGTCATTAACTTACATGACAATAAATGAATATTTAACACATTCACATGATATGATATTCACAATAACACATCTATGAAAAAAAATTGTGTTCAGAAAAAAAACCTTTACAAACATAAGATTTCATGATTATTATAGATGAACCAAACAATAGAATATAAAATGTAAACAATTCCATTCTACCATAACATATTATCTGGTGTTGTTTTCATTTTCACTGGTGTTTAAACAATGCTAACTTTGAAAACTGCATCCACACCTTATCACCAGTAATTTTTTCTGTGTACGTTCTAGCAATATTATGCATCCTTATTTTTCAGTAACAGGATGACATACATTTTATGACCTTGAATACATGGTTATTCTCTGGTGTCTTATCAAACATATGATCTGACAAAGGGTTGAAGACTGTAGCACATGATAGTTGGTGTAGGACCACATTTGATGCTTGTAATGGTTTACCATCATTCATCTTCAGTACCTGTTGAAACATTTCTCCGTCTCCTTACACACCTTGATAATACTGTAGGAAGCTCTTGTCAATCCACCTCTATCTTTTCAATCCAGAAGGAATAACTTTGGTGTAGATTTCATGTCAATTTCATTTTCAGCATACAGAGCTGCTATCAAATAGAGCACTGAATACAACGTTGGGCTGTGGTAGTGACATAACCTGCGATATATCCTATAGAAGCTTCCTTTAAAGTTGAGAGAGGACTGAAGATAAGAGCTTCTGTTACTTCATGATCATCTTCCTCTTCTGTTGCAGATAACTCCAAACCATACTGCTTTGCTGTTGGCACATCATATGTACCTGTCTCAGTGTTGTGCATCATCTGTGGTGACATTGTGTATACTAGTATTATCTGGTGCTATGCAATTACCATGGGAACTCTTGACTTTGTGTCTCATCAGAAGGCATTTGTAGGCAATAACAAACTGGCGAACCTTTGGGTTGTTAAATTCTCCTGTGGGTCGAACTGCCCCATAGAAAAGCTGGCTCATCTTGTATGTCAGTAGGTACTATGGGAACTCTTGACTTTGTGTCTCATCAGAAGGCATTTGTAGGCAATAACAAACTGGCGAACCTTTGGGTTGTTAAATTCTCCTGTGGGTCGAACTGCCCCATAGAAAAGCTGGCTCATCTTGTATGTCAGTAGGTACTTCGATGGAGCTTTGGTGTCCTCTACCAACTCATTGTACAGGGTAGTTACATTAAGAACTGCAGTCATAAAACCGATGAATGGGGTCTTTCTTTTGATGCTCATCATGCACTCTCCAGTCAAGTCCTTCAACTGGGATATGTAGGCATAAGCAACATCTAGGAAAGGAGCCCAAATCTGTACATTGGAGGGCCTCATTGGCATATTGTAACCTTTTGCAATTGGATTTCTTGAGTTTAGGATGTCAAAGAGCTTTTCTTGCATTGTGAACATATTACACATGAATGGGACTTAACGAGCTTTATTAACATAAAGTTTACTTGCAGGTGAAAAGACTTGTCTGTTAGTACAATTCAATGCTTTGCATTTAGGCATGATTCAAAGAAAACAAAACAATGTCTAAGCGAAACAATTTATTTGCATGTGATAATAGCCACCATGGGATTTGTTTTGGGAATGGTTTAATGGCTGCTGAACTGTATCATGTGACCTCATTGTCAGGAGCTAGAAGCACAATCCAGGTCACTTATAGATCAATGACTGTTATGCTACATTATAAATGGTTTTAATAATCTGTATCTTATTTTCTGTTAAATCATAGTTTTAACATTTTAGGAAATGTGACAAGAAAAGACTTTTGAAATATTTTGTGAATGTGAACCTAAAGGTCATACTTAATATATAAATGAGAGTTGAAACTTGAAACCAACTTTATTTCAGTACCTGTAACTACATCCTATCATTTCTGAGCCATATACCTAGCACAACCAAGCTTTAGGTTTTAAGGTTAGAGATACTTGGAATTCATTATGCTGCTGAACAAAGTCCACTCTTTCAGTTTGAATTGTTATAACTGTGATAGTCATCTCATTGTTTGGGTAAGAATAGTTGCTGAAATGGTAGATGTTGCTGACTGGTTGCCCTTTCTCTTGGTCAGCAGTTCTAAATTTGGGGTGGCTGTGTGTGTAAAATATACTATATGGTCTTTTTTTGCTTTTTGTTTTTAAGTTTGAGAAGATGAACAAGTATTTTACACTTACATGCATTTCAAGTGCTTACTATGTTCAATGTGTGTATATACCAGTTGCAACCTTATTCTTACGTTCATTCGTCTTCAGTATTACTGAACTCTCCAACAACAGGAGTTGCTGGATAGTTCCTTAATCATACACTAATGTGTTCTCTAGTGACATCAGTCGTGTAGATGTTTAGGAATACCTGGTAGCTGTGTCCTTACTATTTTTATGTTTGATATGAAAGTAATAATTTCAAACTGGAAAAATTGATCCTATTGTAAGAAGTATATAATGGTTAATTCTCTCAGTCTTATCCAGAACTTTTCCAGATTCAACTAGTGCTTTAAACAGATAGAGGAGTGCTGTCTCTTACTTTGTGCACACATTGATTGTATTTTATTGGTTTGTTCTCTTGTGTATCAGAATTAATAAACATTATTTTGTGTTATTGTAAATTTGTATTGAATCTCGTTTCTTCAGCTCATTCATGTCAGGAATTCAGATTACCTCTTCAATATTTATTCTGCTGAACATCTTATCAGAGCGATTTCTATTCCTGTCTGAAGATTATCAGTGGACCTACATAGCTATGCCTGAACCTTGAGGTTTCTAACGTGTCCATTTAGCCCCTGTATTGCATCAAATTGATAACAAGAAATATCAAACAGTATCTAGAAAAATAAAAATGTTTTTGACATCATGTACTACTCATAAAACTGTACTATAAAGCATATACTAACATTTGTCATATGTTAATAGAAGACTAGTAAAAACATATTTTGCCATAATTGAAAACAATTCTCATATACCATGGTCAGGTTGGCTACAAGGCAAACTGCAGAGCCAGCATATTGTCATTATTTCATACTTTGCTGAGCACATGACTTTACAAATGCTAAAACAAAGAGACAGTTGAATGCAAATGGCATGTGCTGTTTACAGCTCGTTTGATTTTTTGCATTTATTTAATGTAACTCAAGGGTAAACAAGAATGATAGTTGTACAGAATTGTATGACAAAATTCCTGGCAAACAAGAAGCTCACTCATCAGAGAGGTATCTATAGTTGCAATGATGTAAATAAAAAAAAAATTTTCTCTTAAAGATATTTATTGTTTATCATTTTCCCTAAAAAATGTGGGTCTAGTCTCTAAATATGGTTTTATGATTTAAAAAAACTGGCCACCATAAATGGAGCACCACTTATTAGACATAGAAATTTTAGATGAAGGATGTAGTTTTCTAAGGAATCACTTTGAATCCAAAATATAAAAAACAGATACAAAGATTAACCTTTGTAATATAGATGTAAAAGATCTTTTTTATTGTGCCGTCATAATTTATTTTATATTCTTTTATACACTTTAGTTTTCAAATGATTAGTTCCTTGATGGGTCAGTGGTAAATTTTCAAACTTATATCACTAAAATGTGTGGTTCAGTTCTCTTTGGTGCACAGAGTTTAGATAGCCCATTTTGTAGGTTTGCATTAAGAAAACAACAAGAACAACAATCTAATATTTAAATATGCTTGTGCATATACACACACACACATATTGTTACGTATCTGCTTGTTTGATAATTTTCTGAGAAACTTCAACGATACAAGTTCTTTCTTAATTAAAACTAGTTTATTCTTTCTCGTTACAAACTTTGTAATACACTTAATTTCCACAGTCACTTTAAACTTAACTGCTTTTATAAACACACACTATAATTCACAAACTTTACTTACTGTGCCTACTACTTGCTTGACTCAGTTATCTGTCTTTATATCTATCTATCTGCAATTATTTGCTGAGCTTATATACTAAAAAAAAGAGGGCACCTGGAAAAGACTACAGTTGCCAGGACAATTCACTATTTTTCTAGAAACTCATCACGTGTTACCAGCGTCACGTGACTTCCGCTGTCGTAACAATGTATATATATATATATACACTTTCTTTTATCAATGTTTTGTTCAAAGGTTCCTCCATTATGTGTACATTTGTGGTTAGTTATTTCTTTAAAAATATTAATGAAATTAAAGAACTTCAGCAAAGATTGTATTATGTGGTAGACATAAAAAAACTTTCCATTTGTTCATGAAGAAAAAAAAAAGTTTTCTCCTTGGTAATTGCATTCAATTTTACCCAATCCTGGCAGTGTATAGAAAAAATAAAAATCTTGAAGAAGCTATAAGACTGTTGCATTTGAAACAGCCACTAAATTCACCCTTATATAGCTCATATAAAAATACAGTGTGTAATTAGATGAGAGTTATTCATGGAGAAATTAGATAGGAGTTATTCAGAATATGGTGAGGTAGTAGTTATTTAGTGTGTAGTTAAGTAGGAGTTGTTCAGAGTGTAGTTATGTTGGAATTATTCAGAATGTAGTTAGGTGGTAATTGTTAAGGACATAGTTTGGTAGGAGTTATTAAGGGTATAGTTATATAGGACTTATTCAGTGTGTAGTTAGGAATTATGCAAGGGTGTACTTAGACAGGAGGTATTTTGAGGGTAATTAGGTAAGAGCTATTTGAGGTACAGTTAAATGGTAGTTATTTAGGATGTTGTTAGACGAGTTATTTTGAGTGTAATTAGGTAAGAGTTATGTAGAGTATAGTTAGGTAGGGGTTATTCAGGGTGTTCTTAGGTAGGAGTTATTCAGGGTGTTCTTAGGTAGGAGTTTTTAGGATGTAGTTAGGTACAAGCTATTCATTGTGCAGTTATAAGTTATTCAGGATGTAGTTGGACGTGAGTAACTTGGAATGTAGTTAGGTAAGAGTTATTCAGGGTATACTTAGGATGCAGTTGGATAGGACTTATCCATTGTATAATTAGGTAGAACTTGTTATGTAACAGTTATTTAGGGTATGAGTAGATGAAAGTGACTCAAGTTTTAGTTTTATTGGCATTATTTCTGGTAATTTTAGGACTTTTTCAGGGTATAATGATTTGTAGTAATGTAGGATGTGATAATATAACATTAAAAGACAATGAAGGTCCTTTTGGTCCATCTAGGCTGTCCTATTTACTAGATTAAAATACTCTTACAAAAATTCAAAGCCAGCCCTAACCATTGAAATATTTATCAAGCTTTCCCTGAAATTAACTGCATCCACCACATCTGAAGGCAACCTGTACCAGAGACCAACCATCCTATTGGAAAAATAAAACTGTCTTAGCTGAAGATAACTTCTTCCTTGCCAAAATCTATATCTGTGTACTCTAGTCTTACAATTCCCACCATTAAATATGAAAAACAAAGGGGAATCCTCAGTAGCCACGGCACTTGAAATTCTTTTAGGCAGAATTAGAGTAAATAAATCTATGAGGTCTTTTTTTTTCCTTTTTATTGGCTATGTTTTTGTGCACCAACAATACCAAGCATGGAGTGTGCGTATACCTGATTTGATTTTATTGCTCATCAGGATCTCTACCAGCCTATCTTCAAATTGAAATTCTTTTTGGTAGGATTAAAGCAAACTAATCTATGAAACCTTGGACAAGGTCAAATACATCAGTCAAAATTGTTTGACCTCCCGAGTCCAAAATTGTAATTATATCTCAAATCAGTCAAGAGATGATAGAGCTATGAGATAAAAGTTTGTACTTGATACTTGTACGCTCTAGGAGTTGCAAAGTAACAACTCGCCCTCATATCACGTGTGGGTGCACGATTGCTTATGTGCATGCACTAGATAATCAGCCTGCAGCTGTATCAGCTAGATAAAAAATATTCTTTAGATCGATGTTCTACCTATGATCTAACCTTTGAAAGTAAAGTTTTCACTTCTGTACATCTGACTCGAGGGTTCTGTGTTGGACTAAGCAATTCTATCATACTAGTCGGTGCCTAAGACATGATTCTCCTAGGTGAGGACGAACGCTATCACTGCCGAAGTCTGACACAGCTTTGCTTGCTTTAAAATGTTTATTGTTGACGAGGTATCCATGGTTTCCAGTCTGAATTTGGCCTATTTGCAGTTGAAACTGGAAGAACTCTTTGGCAATGACGAGTGGTTCGGTGGTAAGAATATACTGTTTGTTGGAGAAATTATCCACCTGCAACTGGTCAATGGTAACCCCATATTTGAATGTATCATCCAAAAGTCTCTCACCCTCAGGTTAGGTTGTGCCACGGTGATAAACATCTGGAGATATTCAGACAGAAGAGGTTTTCTTACAAATGTTAGACTGTGTGAGACCGATGTGTTCTACTGATGAAACCATTTCCACACTAAAGCAAAGAGTCGTAGAAGTGCCAGTAGCCAATAAATTTAAGGAACTCAAATAATCCAGTCAAACATTTATGTGTCTCTTTCCAACAAAAAAAAAGCATGAGATGATTTGAATGGTTAAATGCTCAGAAATTTCCATTATAAATGAGATCGATCACTCGTTCACTACACGAAAGTGGACCAAGAAAACAACTGAGAATCTTGAAAAGCTTAATCAAGACTGTAACATGACGGTAGGTCTGGAAGCAAACCAGAGGCTTGCTGTGCCGAAACATTGATATGAAAGCTGGTCTAATCAACAGTGCTATAGCATTGTACAAAAGATCTCGTTGACCCATTTTACTTTAAAGTTTGATCACACTGAAAAGCCTTATGATGTTGAAAATGTCAAAATTAGGATCATGGTCATGAAAAACTTTTACGTGAACAGGAAGCAGTTTCCATTCATTCTAGTTGATGCTGTGACCATTCACAAGTGTCAAGGTTTGTTTCTACACTGTGCCATTGCAGAACTCTCTGGTCAAGTGTTTAATGCTGGAATGACATATGTTGCCTTGTCTAGAGTCAGGTCCCTCTCAAGCCTGTACCTGTCAGCTTTTGACCCAACCTCTATCATGGCTAGATACAGCTGTCTTGGAGAAGTTAATAGGCTTAGAGAGACACACAGAAAAGATCTCCTGCTCTATGATATGCCAAAAGCTTCTGGTAGGAAGTGTAAGTATACAGGTAACAAAGATCTACACACAGCAAAAACAGCTAATCAGAAAGGCCAACAAAACTCTTACAAACTAAGAACTATATTTAGTCCAACCTAATAAACAGCCAGTAGCTTCTAGGAAACGAAAAGCTCTAGATAGTTGTGCAGATGAAAAAGAGCTCAAAAATTTGTGTGATTGCAGGGAATATGACCACAGAACAGAATGGGTTTGACCCTTCAATAACCACCTCATCAATTAGATGTGGCAGCATGGAGCCTGCATTGTCATGGGTCTAGAATTCATATGTGCAAACGATGTCTCACCTGGTGGCCCAAATGCTGCTTTGCAATGTCTAAATCTGAGAACCTTGGCAAACATAAGGGGTGGTAGTAACTGTGTGTTTACAACATTCTCCTACACCATAACTGGTTCTCAGTCACAGCAGTATGAAGTGCGATTGGCCATTGTTAATCGTTTGTTACAAAATGATGATTCTTTATGTGCAGTGTATATGTGGATTTACGTAATCAC